CCGCTCGAAAGTCAACCCATAAGTGGGCTCATGTTTAATAAATTTTATTAAACATGATTAAACAAGACTTCTAATCGATCGAATGAATTAATAAGGAAACAGAGTCACTTAATTATCGAACAAGAGCTAAAGTGATAGCTTTTTTACTCCGAGGATGTCCTTGGTCTTTCTTATCATCAATAAAACATATTAATTTTTGATCACAAAAAGGAAGTAATATGCTAACAAGAAGTAACCACTATCATATTTTAGTTTACCTGCTACAACACATAATTCTCATAAATTTTGACAGGTACTCTCTTCATCTAAAATTGTATGTTCCAAATACCATGAAGAAAGGTCCTTCAAGCAAAAGAATAAGGTGCATGTACCTTAGGAGCCCGAACAAGCATGAATTTAAGCATCAATTCCCGAAGAAATGCAGATGTATCTGAGAATCTGGTAGCAACATGAGAGTAAACCTAATCAAAGTCATTACCAACAATATTCACTATCCCAATCTGTCATGATTAAGAAGGATTAAAAAGGTTGTGCTAAGAACATTAATAAAATCAATGTGCTTGAATCATATGAGTTAACTGGTGCTTGATTCCTATTTTCTTTATTGACTAAATCATGAGCACCATTATATGAATATTGTGGGTATGGGGGTTAGGGGAGGGTTTAATACAGACAAGCACAAAGAAATGAAGAAAAGACCGAATAAATCATTGAAGGAGCTAGTCTGGGGAATGACAGTGAATTGTGATCAACTCAAATGATATAAGTAGCCAATGAGATCCAGTGAATAACAATGTGAAATGAAACTCACTCATCTTTCAGCTTCTGAATTTTGTTTGGATCTGTCTCACGAATGTGTTTTTTGAACTACTGCCTCACCATATCAATAACAAGCTCCGTGTTATGTTGCTGCAGATTAATTATAATAGAATAACCATGTTAATATTCCTTCACTTCTAGGTGTTTGGGTAGCAATTCATTCTAAAACCCCAATAGAGCCTCAACTATGAGTCTTATGTAAAGTATAGCTACTCATTCACTTAAGTCAAATTGTGAGACACTAAATTGAACTACCAAGAAAATAAAACAAATTGGTATCTAGTGTGGTCTTTCTAAAACTAAATCTATTAAGGTTAGGGGAAAAATATTCATTTTTTTTTCCTTTTTTGATCAGCAACAAAGAGATTTTAGTAGAACTGAATAGAAAACACATGAAGGACAAGATTCCAAAATTTTTTACCCGAAGTAAAAATTAAAATCAAAAGCAAAATATATCTCACAAACATATTTAGCTATTTGGAGGCATTCCTGATAGTGCTAAAACACCAATATATTAATTAATAAAAAACATCAATCCTTGCTATAGCTAAAACACCAATCCTTGCTATAGTGAAAACATGCATCGATTAGATCATATGAATAAAAAATAAAATTAACACAAATAATTTAGCCTTTAGATTAAAAAAAATCTCCCGCTAGTAAAAAAGCCAGAAGCTTGTTGGGCAAGATGACTTAATATCTTCAGTTTCATGTTCTTTCTTTACCCTAAATATAAAATAAACTATTAACCACAAAAATGGTTTCACCATATAAATTATGCTATTAACTTAAAAAAGCGTTCACTTACATTATATCTGATCAAGACTTGGATTACCAATGGATTATCAAAAACAATGTTTACCCAAAAAATAAAATAATGAAATTTCACAATAATCTTTCAGACTCAACAAAATCTAAACCAAACAAACAAATATTTTTGTACTGTGAAAGAGATAGAGGGAAGGCAAAGAGCAATAATAGTCTTTAAGTGGGAAAATGGGTGGGAGGAGAGATAAGGTTTTTGTAATTTGTGGATCTTCACTTAGATAATAAAAAAATAATATACTGTAATATGTGAGGTGTAAGTGTAATTTATAATGTAAAGCATTTAGGACCGGTCCAAGAAATGGGAGACCAATCCTAGGTAAATATCACCCTTTTATCCCTTAACTATAACACTTTTATCCCTTTTTTTCTTAACTATCACATTTTTATCCCTTAAATAATCAAAAAAATCCACAAAAATATTCAATTTTTTTATAAATAGTCCCAATTTTTATTAACAAAAAAAATTAAATAATGAATAAAATCAAAAAAATTAAAAGAATCGTAAATAATGCTTCCAATTGGGTCAAGTTATAATGCTTTTGGATTGAGTTTCAATTTTTTGGGTGACTCCAATTTGCTACATCAAAAAAATTCTACTGTCCAAAAATATTCAATATTTTTTAAATAACAACAAATAAATAATGAATAAAATCAAATAAATAAAAGAATTGTAAATAATGTTTTGGTGTGATTATAACTGGTTATAATTTTTTTTGAATTAGGTTCCAATTTTTTTGGTGAGTCGAATTAGCTAAATAAAAAAAAGTTCTAAAATATTGAATATTTTATAAATAATTCTTTTTTTTTATTAATAATAAATAAATAAATAAATAAAATCAAACAATTCAAATAATTGTAAATAATACTTCCAACTATTTGGGTCAGACTTATAACATTTTTGGAGGTTACAACTCTTGAGGGAAGGTTCCAACTTTTTTGAGGTTCCAACTTGGGGTGGGTTCAAACAGTTGGGGGAAGGGTCCAACTTTTTTGAGTAGGGTTCCAATTTTTTTTTGGTAGAAGTTTCAATTGTTTTGATAGGGGTTCCAACTTTTTTGGGTTAAGTTCTAACTTTTTTGGTTTGAGTTTCAATTTTTTTGGATAGAGGTTCCAACTTTTGTAAGTAAAGGTTTCAACTCTTCAAGCAGGGGTTTCAACTTTTTTGGGTAGGGTTTATAACTTTTTTTGGGATGGATTCCAACTTTTTTGATTAAGAGTTTCAACTTTTTTGGATAAGAGTTACAATTTTTTTGGGGAAAGATTCCAACTGTTGGGGGGTAGGGTTCCAACTTTTTGGGTTGAGGTTTCAACTCTTGTAGGAGAGTTCCAACTTGTCCAAGGTTCCAACTCTATAGGTGGGTTCTAATAGTTGGGGAGGGTTCCAATATTTTTTGATAGGGGTTCCAACTTTTTTGATTGGATTCCAACTTTTTTGGGTAAGGGTTCCAACTGTTTTTGGGTAGGGGTTCCAATGTTGGGGGTAGGGTTCCAACTTGTCCAAGGTTCCAACTCTATAGGTGGGTTCTAACAGTTGGGGGAGGGTTCGAATATTTTTGGATAGGGGTTCCAATTTTTTTGGATAAATGTTTCAACTCTTGAGATAGGGATTCCAACTTTTTTGTAGTAAATTTCAACTTTTTTGGTTAGGGGTTCAACTTTTTTGGTAGGTAACTTTTTGGGTAGAAGTTACAACTCTTGTGGGGGAAGAGTTTCAACTTTTTTAGAGGTTCCAACTCTTGGTGGTTTTCACAGTTGGTAGGTTCTCACAGTTGGAGGTGGGTTTTAACTTTTTTGGGTAGTATTCCAACTTATTTGGATAGAGGTTCCAACTCTTGGGGTATGTGTTCTAACTTTTTTGGATAGGGTTCTAATTTTTTTGGTTAGGGGTTCAACTTTTTTAAGTAGTGTTCTAACTTTTTGGTAGAGGTTCCAACTCTTATGGGGGGAGGGTTCTAACTTTTTAGAGGTTCCAACTCTTGGTGGGTTTTAACAGTTGGGATAGGGTTCCAACTTATTTGGGTAGGGATTCCAACTTTTTTGGATAGAGGTTACAACTTTTTCGGTTGGTGTTCTAACTTTTTTGGATATGGGTTCCAACGTTTTGTGTAGATGTTCCAACTCTTGAGGGGTTCTAACTTTTTTTGGATAAGATTTCCAACTTTTTTTTGATGGGAGTTTCAACTTTTTTTAGTAAGGATTCTAATATTTAGTAGAGGTTCAACTTTTTTAGAGTGAGTTTCAACATTTTTGGTAGAATTCCAACTCTTGGGAAATGATTCCAACTTTTTGTGGATAGAGTTACTAGGAGGTTCCAACTTTTTGGGTTTACCGATTGGAGGAGAGATTCAACTTTTTTGACAATGGTTTCATGTTTTTTGGTTGAGGTTATTTGTCAAATCCTTCTCTTTTTCATTACGTCCTACTCTTTTTCATTGCCAGTTTAGCAGGTAATCGATATCCACTTTTCAAACTGATCAACGGCTATAAAAACAAAAAAATTACATCAATGGCTTAAATAAAATGACAGTACCGCACCGAAAAGTAAAATTCGATATTGCAGTCTGACCCGAATGATTAGGACCACACCAAAACCGGTTCGGTTGATTGCAATGTTCAGCCATTATGCTCAGAACACAGTTGGGGACCCCATGAAACTTGACTAGGATTTGTCTATCGCCTGTAATCAACAATATGGCCCCATCGCCAACTCTTGGCTGGACCCACTTTGAGGGAGACGGTAAAACTCGTCAATAACCGGCCTTGGATATTTGGATCAATCATAAAAAAAAAAACAATTGCTTCAACAAATCTGATAACCATGGGTGTTCAGATGGCCTCACTAATACCGGATCCAACCTTTTGTTCGTGTCAGAAAATCACAATGAATTGACAGAAAATATACCAGTAATTTGTCAGAAACAGGGACAATGGCTGTCATAGCAAAAAAATACCCACAAAAAGCATATTCTCATCGCATTTGCACCCTTCAATCATCAATTTTCCTATGCAAAGCAAAGATGTTAAACGGAAAATTTATCCACATATAAAGTTAGCAACAGATAAATACTTCAGAAAATGTATACGGTCGAAGAGGCAAGCATATGCTCTGTTAAAGGCAAAAAGGGCATCTTTAAAACAATAAATCACTTGGCTTCAAAAGTAAAGCACATTCTCAGCAGTTGAAATTAAAACCCCACAAGAACTTATGCAACAAGTTCATCATCGGAAAGGTGATGCTGTTTAAGCAGGAATAAGAAGTTCTGCATTATACTTATTCATTTCCAGCCATGAGAATCAACTGGCATCAAATTAACAATAATGAGGCGCCTATCAACCAAGAAACTCATTGTTTTTCATTCTGGGTTGGTGAAGAAGCCGTTGATGGAAGGCATGATCTCTGGAGACTTATTGCGGACAAACTTTCTGAGGGCATGTTCAGCATATTTTTCTCCTTCAGCAAAGTTATCCAGTATTCCTGCAGTCCTATTTTCCTTGGTTACCCTTTGTTTGCAAACAGAAAGATGAGTCAGCAACTAATTGTTGTAGTAGTAGTATCTAAACATAATGCATTGCTGTTATGATGTGGTTACAATACTATTGCTTTGACACATTTGATGCACATAAATGTTTCTATTTTTGGCCTAAAATGCTTGATAACTAGATCACCTATAATACAACAGTGAGAGGCATGAGAAGATTCCATAAATTTGAGTAGGTAAGATGTCTGCATAACTTAAAAGTTTAGTAACACTTTCTCCTACCCCAAGCCACGCAAAGGGCAAATCCAACCAGACCCTTCTGAGTAATATGTTCTATTGTAATAATAAAAATTCTATGTAATAATGGAACTATAAAGGCGAAAAAAAAACCACGAGATACACCCAAGTGTTGTACTTCGATTTGAGAATTGAAGCATCACTGTTGGTAGTATAGTTTCTAAAATTTTAAGCTAAAAATTAGGGGTGTTCAAATTTCCTACCGGCCACAAGTTCCTACCCTACATTACTCTACTGAACAGCTAGCCGCAAAAATCGGGTAGAAATGCGCAAGAGTTTTTGGTCTTCCGACAATTTTCGGGTAGGAATGCAGAATAGCCATTCATTTTCGCATTCCTACCCTATCCTACCTGCAATAATTTTTTAATATATATATAAACTAAAAAAATCCTAACTACAGGCGGAACAATTATGATTTTAATGTATTTCATATGGTTTAAAGTTTAAACTTAAATTAATTGTTATTGTATTTGTATAACAATTATGGTAGATTGATGTTCATATTTTCTTGTGTTTTATTATAATTCTTGTTGTAGTTATTTTAAATTTTAGTGTTAATTGATTTATTGTGTTGTTAAATTGGTGAATGTTATTTAATTAAATTGTTAAAATTATCCAAAAATTAATTGTTACAAAAATATTGACCCGATTTCCTACCCGACTTCTTACCCGATTAATCGGGTAGGAATACCACACTTGTCAGGTAGGGTAGGCCAAGAAAAAACTCTTCCGCAAAATATCGAGTAGGAAGACGGAAGAGCATATTTTCTACCCACAGGATAGGGTGAACACCCCTACTAAAAATTAAACTGTCTGGTATGCAAAAGCCACACAAGTTGACAAAAGAAAATGGGAGCCATAAAATCAATGAGTGTTTGGGTTGGGCCATATAGCTCAACTGAATGATGTTTACCCCAATTTCCCCAAACTACAAAATCCAATCTAAATTAGAAGAGAAGTAAATTGTTTATCTTACCAAAATAGAATTTAAATGAAGGGGGAAAATATGTACAGGGGACTAATAAGATTAGGCCAAAGCCTCCAGCAACAGAACTGAGGGAAAGAGAAAATAATAGCAGGCATTATAATAACACATGGATTTGGCAGATTTGATTGATTAGCTGATGTTTGAAAATAAAGTCAGTCTTAGCAACAGGAGCATTTCTCCAACCAGATACCGCCACAACCCAAACCAGAATGTCAACATAACCAACAGTATCCTCTAATGCAATATACCTTGCCCCCATCACTACCTCAAACCAATGACACTTCATAAACCATACTGACCCTGTCTTTTTATTATCTTACAGGCTAAGAAGCATGGACACATACACGAAACACGGATACGATCTAACATAGACAAGCAAACACAATATTTCTTAAAAAAGTAGGACACGAACACGTTAGAAATAATTGTATTTTATATGCAAAATTAGATAAATTAAATACTTTATGATAAGTAAATATTCCATCTTTTTTTATATTAAAACATCATAATAGTCGGTAACTATCAAATTTTTTTGTAGTCCATGTATACCTAACATACATAATTTATATAACTGCTTTCATTTTCTCAATTCCTCTTTTTTTAAAACTTTTACGCGTTTTTTGTTTTTATTATTAAACTTCGAGTACAATCTGCACATGTATAATCTAAATAAATTATGCATTCTCTAATAGTATAAGACACTTGCTAGTCAAATTAACAACACATTTATTGTTTAGTAAATAAACATGGCCTAAAGAAGTGTCAATACATCACCAATGCAATATCAGACATGCATCAGAAATTAAAATTTTATCATTTAATTATCGAATAAATTTATCCGACATGTGTCCGAGGTGTATCGCTGTGCTTCATATTTTACATGGATCTCAAAATATCCAAAATGCCTGACCTTCACAAAATTCATCTTTTTTTTTGAACATATGATTGATAAAGAAACTATTTGTCTAGAGGCACAGGCCCAAAGAAATGAAATACAAGTTCATCCTCAAATCGTAAATAAATTGGCAACATAAAGGGTGGAGAGAGAAAGAATACCTGACTTCAGGATTGATGCAGATGTTCCGCACCAACTGCATTCCGCATATCCCCACGGCTACTCCTACGGCCGCAAACAGAGGATACACCTACATACAATTGAAAAACACTTCGAACAATCAGATCCACTCAACGAATCAAAAGATCTCCCGCAACAAACTCGCATAACCCTAAAATCTTAAAACTATAGCCTATCTATACATCCATGGACACTCAAGAACACAGATTTGACAGCGATGTGAAAAATCAACAGCGATTTAGAGAGTTTAAGATACGAACCTCGGGCCTCAGCCACCGATTGAGAGTTGACGAAGCCATTGGAGAAGCCCTGAAGACACGGTATGAAAAGCAGAATAGCACACAACAGCTAATGAGAATCGGCAATTCAGAAATGATGACGACTTAAGCGCAGTCGCCTTCTTATACGATCGATAGAAACGGAGTTAGGGCCTGGGCCGGGGTAATCCGGGATGTCAGCCACCGGCCCATTTTGGCCCAAAAAACGAATAAATATTGGCTACAACGAGAAAACACGTTAGTTGTACCATGTGGTATATCCCTTTATTAATAAAAAATAAGTCAGCAAGTGAGCCTTATTAAAATTTATAATTATCCAACCATATAACATATAACTATCCAAAAAACATAGGTTTGTCGGGCATTAAATTAGGTGTTGATTAGGTTCTTAAAATAAGTTCATATGATTTTAGTCACATAATTCGTGTAATCAGTCGATGTTCTGGTGCTTTATGGTTGAATTTGCGCTTTAAAATCAAATTCTTTGTGAATTCACATTCTTATTTTATAAAATTTGTGAATTCGATTAATTCGCACTCTTACTTACTTATATGTTTACTCATTATTATTCAAATTTTTATTTGAAAAGTGTTGAATCATGTCTAAATATACATATATAAATAGTGATATTTCTAAACTAAAATTGTCATTTTAAGATTTTATAATCAATTTATATTTAAAATCAAATAATTTATTATATAGTTGTGCACGAACATTAATATTTAATATTTTATTGTTAAGTAATTTTTATGAGTGAATGCGTGTTTATGTGTAATAAATATTTTGCTCTCAAGGTATTCCAACTTTTAAATTTTTTAAAATTTTACCCTTTTATCCTTCTGCTCTCGCTCTCGCCCGCGATTCCGCTCTACGTGATTTTACCATATAACATTGTTCTTGTTTTAATTCAGAATTATTTCAATTAATTTTATCGGGCCAAATATACTGGACCTCATCTCCGAAAAGCTCGTTCTAGCCTAGCAGAATTTTGTGTTGCCTGTGGGCCGCCACATTAGGAGCTAACTCATGGCCCAATCCTTCGGTTAATGGGTCAGCTCATGGGTAGTGTACTCTTTTGTCGAGCCTTATTCATTGATTGAATATTCAATGTACGGATATTACCAGATCATCGTCGACAAGTGTTACAACCAACCACTTAAAAAAGGATTACACATGGCTAGTGAATCTTATTTAATTTAATAACCGTTAATAATCACCACATTTAAATGGATGCAATAACTATTATATGCTGATTTTTTATTAAGTGACATATCACGGAAAAATGATGACGTGACATTAACGTTTAAATTTACTTGCACAAAATATACTAATACATAATCAACAGTCAAGTGTGCAATACAGAGTAATTAATAAATAATTAATAAAGTAATCAATAACAGAAGGCAGAGATCAGACGACACGAGAACGTATAGTAATTTGGTTAAGGTAATCTGCTCCACTTTTGAAGGCGGTTATGGTGGCCGGAGTTCTTTATTAATAGAGCAAATGGTGGAGGAGAGAGTAAGGAAATAAAAGTACGCTCAAGGTGAGGTGAGGTATCTCTGTGTGAGATGTAGAGGTGTGTTCCCCTTATGTGTCGATGACTTACAATTTATAAACACAAAGCCTTGATTGAGGTAATGACGTGATGGTAAATATACTAGTTCTTCTGGAATGATAGTTACATCTAAAGATAGATATAATTAAAGATAACTTTGATCTTTGAGAGTGACTATTCCGATAATTGCTCCCCACATGCTCTAATATTCTTAGACTCTTTAAACTTTGGATTGGGCTGAATCTGTAAATTGGGCTTGACCCACTTTGTAGCAAATTGAGGCTTAATTAATTGGTTGGGCCTGTCCAGTCAAATTTGAGCTCATCAAAATTTACCCTTTTTAAATCTTTTAAATTATTTGTTATGATATTGAAAAATAAAATTTAATATTGTAGTATTTTCCTTACCAGTAGCATTGTAATGAACTCTTTTGCATCAACATCACACAGATGTTGTGGTGCCGGGAATGTTGTGGCCTATGCAAGCTATGGCCACCAATAACATGTAATATACGTAGGTGGTCCACTTTTCATGCGGCCTTGTTTGCCTGATATTGTATAGTGGTTCCCACTGGTCCCTCATACTCTAATCCATAACCATTTTGTTGTTTTTTTCGTTTATAATTTGTGGCCTGCTTTGCTTTTATAATGAGTTTGCCTGGTTTGAGATATTTGCCAATTTTACCAAATAACCCAATCATTTCAGCTTGTTTCTCCTTTTTGAGCATTCACTCAATATGCATTTAATTAGATCATAATCTTTGTGGTAACCTTATCCTCTGTTTTGTAAGGAAGACGAAAAATTAGAAGAATAAAAAATATGAGAGATACATTTTCTATCCTTCAAGAATGAAAAGTAGGAAAAATACATTTTTTTTTCCTTTGTGTTTGGTTAGATGAATAAAAAATAAAAATAATTATTTTTTTTTGTGCAGGCTAAGATTAGGAGTGACAATAAAATCGTGTCATGTCAGATTCGTGCTGAGTTATTACGGGTTTGTATCAAATATTAATCAAACTTAACTTAACTTATTTAACTAATTGTGTCGTATCGAGTTGTGAGTCGACCTGTTTATTTTCGTATTGAGTTCGAGTCGTGTCGTTGTGTTGAGTCGAAAATTTTCACCCTTAATTAAGATGGAAAAATATTTTTTTTAATTTAAAATTTTTTATTGTTTTATTTTTATTTTTAAATTTATTTTTTTAAATATATATATATATATATATATATATATATATATATATTTTACCATTGTATTTTTATATAAAATTAATAGATATATAAATAAATATAGACAAATAAGATACATTTTAACATAAATAATTAATTTTTCATCCACTTTTCTTTCGATTTTGGAGGGATTATTTTTGGTGAGTTAGAAGGAAAGTTAATCTATCCACTTTTTCATCCTTCTTTATTAAATATGATATTTTATTTATCCTTTTAATTTTTTATCATTCTAATTTTCTATCGTGTCAAACGGAGCATTAGGATTCAATTCAATACACGTTACTGAGTTATTACATGAAATATATATGTACTAGTTAGTACTTAAAACATGAGGGGCCTAGGCCTAGTGATGATTCCGTCTCTAATTATTAGAGTTGGGACAAAATTTAGGTATCGAATTATTTATTAATTTTTGGGGTATTTACATTTTTTGTTGGGCATAATTTATGAACTTTTTTAGCGTTCAATCGCATTTTGAGTTTCATTTACTATATTTTTTGGAGTATCACTTTTAAAAACTTGTCATTTTTTGCATACATTTTGGGTTTTTTTTTTTTCATATTTTTTGTACTGAAAACTTAAAAATCCACACCATATTGTTTACTTATATGTTATATTCTTTTTATTTGGTGAATTATAATTGGAGGGTTATATCAGGTAATAATAATAATGTAATTTAAATTTAATTTATTGACATAATAATGTAATTATAGAAGAATTATTAGATCAACACTAAATTTCAATATTTGATGAACCTTACAATCAATTCAAAAATCACATACTAATCAACAAATTATATCAAAAAATTAAGGGTTAATCTCATTTTACACCCCGAAAGATAGTTCGAATCTCAATTTATACCCTCAAAGAGCAAAAATCTCAATTTGCACCCTAAAAGATAGAAATTTGTATCAATGTGCACCCCCAAAGATCAAAAATCTCAATTTGCACCCTCAAAGATAGAAATCTATATCAATGTGCACTCCCAAAGATAAAAAATCTCAATTTGCACCCTCAAAGATATAAATTTATATCAATGTGCACCCCAAAGATAAAAAATCTCAATTTACACCCTCAAAGATAGAAATTTATATCAATGTGCACCCCCAAAGATAAAAAATCTCAATTTGCACCCTCAAATATAGAAATTTGTATCATTATGCACCTAAAATTAAATTGATAAATTATACCTAGATCCTCTCATGTTTGTCACTTAATCATTTGAACCTCTTTACATTTAGAATATTACTCCTATATCTCATGACATTTATGCACGTACAACATGTAACCCACTTTCATTGATATTTGTTAATATAACCATTAAAAAATATAATTTTATCCTAATAAAAAATTATAATTTCATATTACCCTTATTTTATGGGTCCAATATACTCTAAAGTTCAAAATCAAGTTTACCATTTGAATGTCTAATAAAATGTAGATATTTATATAGTATTTTTCATATTTTCTTTTTTATAAATATCTACATTCTATTAGACATTCAAATGGTAAGCTTGATTTTGAACTTTAAAGTATATCGAATCCACAAAATAAAGGGTAATATGAAATTATAATTTTTTATTAGGATAAAATCATATTTTTTAAAGATTATATTAATAGATATCAACGAAAAGTGGTTATGTTTACACATGTACAAACCTCATGAGATATAGGGGTAATATTCTAAATGTGAAGGGGTTCAAATGATTAAGTGACAAACATGAGGGGATCTAGGTATAATTTATCAATTTAGTTTTAGGTGCACATTAATACAAATTTCTATCTTTGAGGGTGCAAATTGAGATTTTTGATCTTTGGGGGTGTACATTGATACAAATTTATATCTTTGAGGGTGTAAATTAAGATTTTTGATCTTTGAGGGTGTACATTGATACAATTTTCTATCTTTGATGATACAAATTAAAATTTTTAATCTTTGAAAGTATAAATTGAGATTTAAACGATCTTTCAGGGTACAAAATAAGATTAACCCAAAAATTAAATCTCAATAACATTGATTAACGTGACAATGTTGGTGGCATGCCCAAATATTTACTACTATGAGTGGCTTGGCAGCACTGGGTTCCGATGATGGCGAATCCGTAATATGGTGGAACAAGAGGGGTACAACCAAGTCAGAAAACAAATAAAACAAGTGAAAAATTGATGGTCTGATAATCGAAGGGGAGAGACCGTACAAGCTTCGCCTGAGGCACCAACCCACACAAAGAAAAGCTTGATAACCTTCTGAAGCTTTTCCACTAATGGCCGCTACAACCAATGCTTTCCTTCTCTCTCCCCTCACCGACCGATCACTCCAGCCCCTCCACCCACCGCAATTACCCTCTCCATTTTCCCACCACTTCCTCATCCGACCGTTGCTTCCCGCCATCGCCGCAAAGAAACGCTGTTCCGCTGTCGTCAGTTGCTTAATCTCCGGCGTCGACGGTGGTGGAGTCTCCGATGACTTCTTATCCACCAGGAAGCCTGGTTTCGATGGCGAATTCGAAGTTATTGCCAGTATGCTCAGGAGAATCCAACCTTTGGACACTTCGATCATCTCCAAGGGCGTTTCTGATTCCGCCAAGGACTCCATGAAGCAGACGATCTCTACTATGCTAGGGTTGCTGCCATCGGAGCAATTCTCCGTCACAATTGGGGTTGCCAAAGACCCTCTCGATAGGCTCATCTTTTCTTCAATCATCACCGGGTAATTACTTTCAAATTAAAATTAACATTATATGCAACAATTGTTAGATGTAGTTATCTATCAAGTTAATTGTTGTACAGAGAGTGATTTAGTTGGCGAATTTTTAGGTGTACTCTGTGGAATGTGGAGTATAGGATTTCATTGACGAGGAATCTTGAGATATCACCGGATAGTTCGAACAGGTCGATTTTCCCAGAGAATAATGGTATTTTGGAAGTGAAGCGTGAGGAGAGAGAGGATGTGGGTGACGAGGTTGGTGTTGGTGGGTCTGTTGAAGATTTAGAAAGGAACAACCTTCAAAGTAGTCAGGCTTTGTCTTCGGAGGCTTTGAAATACATTGAACAGCTGGAATCAGAGTTATCTACGGTCAAGCAGGTGAGAATCTATTCTCTTCTCTCTGTCAACAGAGTTAGATTTCAGAAATAATATGGAATTTGGGGAGTTGATAAGTTCTTTGATTTGTCTTAAGGATTTTTTTTAATCCCCTCCCCGTCTGGTCAAAAGCAAACCATTTATGCAAAGACTAGGGTATTCATGTGGGACAGGACATTGTTAGCACTTGAGCTACCCTTTAAGGTTGTCTTAAGGATTGCCAACCAGTTTAGAGAAGGATGCCGTGGGCACTTACTAAAAGTTAGTGCAAAGCTCAATTACATGTATACAGATTGTTATACTGCTATTCATTTAGTGTGGGTTATCAAAGTGTTCTTTAGAACTACAAGCCGCAAGGTTTTCAACTACTGACTACTAAAGATATATGATACTCACCCGACGTAGTAATGGTGGGAGTCTTCTTCCAATTTATGCTGATAAGTGATGCTGTCTCAGGAACTGGATGCCTGCAAACAAGACAATATGCAAATGGAGTATATGAGACAAAGTAACAATGATTTGTTAGAGTACTTACGGTCCCTGGAATCTAATATGGTAATGACTCAACTTTTGCAGTTTAAGCAGTGATTTTATGGTTGAGAATGGATTCGTTAATGCTCAGAACAAATTTTCTCATATGTCATTTTGTTTCAATAGGTTACTGAACTATCTAGACCATCATCATCAGAGGTGGAGGAAATTATTCACCAACTTTCTCAAAATATATTGCAAAGATTCTTTAATGAGGAGACAGTCTCTAACTTTATGGGAGATTCAGGTATTGAGGGTACAGAAAACTACCAAAACGGTGGTGATGAATTCTGTGATACTGTAGGGACTTCCAGGGATTATCTAGCAAAGCTGCTTTTTTGGTTAGTATCTTGTCATCTGTCTTCCTTTATTGCTCTTCTTCATTTGCTTTGACCTTGTGAATTCGAAAAAAATTGAAGGAGCCAACAATGTTTGTGATTTATCCCAAATATTATACTAAAGAAAAAACTTCTCTTTGCACTTGATGTAATTAGCATACACTCTTAATCATGTGTTCTGCCAGAGTCTGATTGTGTTGTGGCTCTCAACTGTTGGTGTTTTATTTATAAAAATAATTTCTACCTGATATCATATGTTTAAGGAGCCCTTGTGGTTGCAGGTGTATGCTATTGGGTCATCATTTAAGAGGCTTGGAGAACAGGCTGCATCTAAGTTGTGTTGTTGGCTTGTTGTAAGTAAAAAGTACAAAGAGGGATTTATATTCTTCCGTTTTTATTTTTTCTTGGGGTGTTTCTTTATCAATTTTGCTATATATCTGTATTGAATTTTCTTATTCTGGAACAAAACTGTGAATATCATAATAACAATTAATCATTGCTTCTCATTTTAAGGAACTTCTTTACCTTCACACCATTATAATTTTACCATAATAGGAGTAATGTCTAGATGCATAGTAATCTTTTAAAGTAAAAACACCATTTGCTCATCCCAAATTCTGACAAACCTGGGGATGGGGTCAACCGAAGCAGCTGCATTATTGATCTTGTGAAGCGACTATCCTCATATTGAGTTGCATTTGAGCCAGGGATTGCCCTTGGGGACGAGTGACCCATGAAAGAAATCCTCAGTGACTGGTTGAAGGTCTGCTGATCATCTTATGTCTACATTCAGGAACCTCAGTATTATCTTAGTGGAATTAAAGAATTTTGTTTTTACCAGGGTTATCGACTTGGCGGGCCCTCTGGCTACTTTAGATGCCTAGGTGTGGAAGTTATTTAGTCTTTGCCTCTTTGGGGTCCAATGAGATTGGATAGCCACGGCGAGTTTTGAATATTTTGCCCTAAGGTATGGCTTGGGCAGTATGTCTTTCTACTGTTACTTTTGTTTGAAACCTGTAGTTGCCAGCAGTTGTGCCATTATCTTACTCCTGTAACGGTAATGAGATAGTCCAGAGGTATTAGGCACATACTTCATGAAGCACACGTTGGAGAATCAAAATGCTTAGTATTGAATCAATAGTAATGAACAAAACTAGTATTGGTTGCAACTGCCGTTCATGGTGGTCAGGAATGCCCTCGGTTCTACAGAGATCATAAGGTGCAGAGAATAACAACTGGGCAAGACGGTCAAGCCTTGGCCATGGCTTCCCCTTGTCGACCCAGAGCATCAAAGTAACTGGATCCGCACAAAGCCCATGTTGGTCCCCCCCAACGATCAATGGCCCCGTTGAAAGTATCCACCCTATCCAGAAAGATCTTCCAAACAACACACGGTGTTGTACAACAGAGGATCTCTGCCCTCTGAAAATACTGAGCAACAAAACAAACCGTGAACCCATTTAAAACTCAATGTGATTTCCACACAACATATGCTCCCTAGTCAAAACAACCAAAAAACCTATGCGAGGGAAACAATATTTAAGACATGCAGGTGCAGGAAAGGGAGAAACTGCGAACATGGGAAACAAACATGAAATGATGAAACCTTCAAGAAAGAAGACCAAATAAGTATGTCAAATAAAAGCAAAATTAGCACCTTACATATAGGGAATTCAGCTGCCCACTTTGCAAGGTTTTGATGAACTTGTGAAATCATGTACTGAAACCATCATATTAACAATATATATGGCAAAATACTTGAGGCAAGAGGTCAAGTTCCAAAGGGAAAAAGCACAATTTGAGAGAGAGAGGTTGATTTTAAAATTTTGATGATACATTCACATGAACCACCAAAGAAAACTCTGCAAAGAGAGAAAAAAAAAACGAAAAAGAGTATGAAAACTCCTAGATACCTGAAAACGCTACAACTACAGTCACGTTTTCCTCGATGGCAAATCAAAATTCTTGCAATGACAAAACATGACTGACACAGGACAAAGATGAGAGACTCCATGTGCATTATAATTCTGAAAACAAAATTAACTCTTTCTAAGATCTCATACTCATGCTAAGACCGACCCACTGGGGATTAAAGCCTACATCTCCTTTTAAGGATCATAATTCTTTCTGCGGCAGGGACATAGCCCATCTGTCTCAAGAATCCTTTTGTGACAAAAAAGACATATCCTGAATCCACGAGGACATGGAAGAAAGCTCAAGTCCGTGAGATCAAAATCCTCGCAACAAATCAGGCATGAGGAAGGTTGGGTCATGATGCTTTGACATGCCCAAGAAACAGAACCATTACTAGAATCAGTTGTAAAACTACAATGCTTCTTCACACTGGGCAGACTACGAGGGCGATAAACATCATCAGGTTGCCATGCCCGACGATTCACCTGACCCCTGGAAATCACTTCCTTACTCTCTCTTTCTGATAAGCTGACTCCAGAATTACTAGGCTCAGTTAATCCAATCTTCTTTCCAAACCCTGAAAGAGGTTCTAAATTTGGGTTATTCTGCTTTTCGTTGAAGGTCAGAGCATCAGCAACGGCCTCCCAATCGTCCAGGCAACCGTCATCCTCTTCTGTTTTGCTGACATATCCAGGGCAACATCGGCCACTGGCACTGCTGCAACAGCTCTCAGAAAGATCTTTCATTGAGCCATCTAGAACGATACTGCTTCCAACGGCACTACTCATTAAGCAGTCCAAATCACTGTCATGAACATCTGATCCCTCAATATCTACCCCCTTTGACCTCACTTCCAAACTCTCTAATGATCTGTTCTCCATATGAGAAATCAGCAAAGAAGAGGGATGAGATCCACCCTGCCCACCTGAACCCACTTTGCAGCTCATGTTATTTGCTGCGTTAATTATTTCACTTTCAGATTTGCAAGTCAATCTAAATTCATTTTCAACAAACGGATTTAAGAGAAAGCAATAGTTCTTTCCTTTTGTAAACTAATCCGTTGGCATATCTTCTTACACTTTATGGTTTTACAATGAAATTGCATCACTAACCCACCACATTCGCCATTTACCGTTGCGCTTATTATACTTTCAGTTTGCACTTGTGACCAACTAGTGAAAAAGTTCTCAAATACAGTTCACCAGAAGATACTTCAAGTAATATTGCATTTTATTACAATGAGAGGAAGAAAATAAACCATCAACAATTAACCTATGTTTAATTGCTGGACAAAGGAGGAAATAAAATACCCACAACTATGAGCCCTGCAGGAAAGCAGCACCCAAAGCATTATGGACCTAAAATCTTGTGCTCCTACCCTTTCTTGATAGGAAACCAAGAACAAGAAGAAAAAAATGTATTGCATCAAAATTAAAACATCAACCCAACTCAACAAAAGACTTAATCCCAACTATTTGGGGTCGGATAAATTAAAACATATTCATAAAATACATAGTCTGAACAAAACCCAGCATTCATATAGAGTTATAGGTGTATATTGTGGGGACATATTGCTCGATAAGAGCCAAAACTAACTCCAAATTTTCTAACTTATTCTACATTTTCCCAACAACCAAACAGAACCAGAAGATACAAGACCTGTGCGTGCAGGATCTTACACAATATAAACACGAGGACATATCTCTCCCGTGGTGAACACGTATTCGAAATTGGGCGGTTGATTTTGCTAGTTGAACAAGTTGTGGGGGTCGAAGGTGGATAATCAATCGTTGGTATGAGTCGCCTGAGTGATCCTGGAAAACTGAAGAGGGTTCCTGGAACAAAGAAAAACAGGTTAGAAGGGCGCCGGAGTGTTTTTCGGTGTATCCTTTCCGACGATCAAGTCAGTTCTTTGAGAGAGGGGAAGAAGGGAACACTATATGAAGGTTGAGAGAGGGTTTATTGCGTACCTCATTATGTGTTTTGTGAGGAATATGTATACCTTAAAAACTCATGATTGCTGTCAGTATGGTCAATAGGTGATCATTAGAGGTGGGTAACGTGCGCACTGGTTTTTAGGAGAAATGACATCTTCCTTAACTGCTCGGGACCCCGAGCAACCAATGCATCACCCTCGGTTTGTTGAGCGTTTAATGACCTTCACTCGGCAGAGATATATTAAATGCTCGGTCACAGGAACATTCATTGTCTTTCACTTCCGGGTCTTCACGCATTAAATGTTGTCTCATCAAGGGAAAGGTGCATTAAATACTTGCTTTCCCAAGTCGTATGTCAGCAAGGGCATTCTGGTCTTTTTGTCTCTGGTCTGACACAATACGCCACGTGCCCGCTCCCCTTTGGTTGAGTCTTCTGCTTTCCTGTGCGTCCTAATACCATCTAGGTAAGACCAGGTCATGATGGCTAATCTAGCCTAGCCCAGGCTGATGACCTGTCTATCAATAGCACTGCAGGAACAGGAACGCTGATGTAGTGGGTACACATCGGTGTCGAGGGCTTAGTACGGTTAGGGCCGATATACCCACCCATTCGACCGAGGAATATGTGTCACCCGTGCATACCGACGTCGTAGATCCTTATGCATAGTACCATCTCGGGGGAAGAGGGATCATGATCCGACGAGCACATGTCGTGATCACGACAGAGAGTATTTCTTGACACTGAATACACGTGTCGCTACCTTGGAGTGTCTGAAAAATGTCCCATTAACTGCCCCCAGCCTTGGATCTTCTGACACCGAGGACACGCGTTGTAAGAAGACGAAGGGTTCTGTAACTACCCCAACCACTTCATCATTGCCCCTAACCACTTTCCTCCGCTTAGGAGGTCGTGCGCATTAAATGCGCCTCTTCGTGCTTTATGCCCAATGATGGGGATGGGTACTATATAAATGGATTCTCTCTCTCCCTCTCACACTTCGCCATTTCAAACTCTTTAGAGAGCCCTCGCTTGAAATCTCGTCGGAGACCCACTTCCTTACGTTGTTTACAAACCAATCTTAACCGGAGTCTTAAAGCCAGCAGACCCATCCTTGCTTTTGAAACTTCTGGAGGAAGGAACCACTCCAAGTTTTGAAGAAAACCTTCGTTCAAGTTCTGGTGAGTCCTTGTATTTTCCTTCTCTCCACCCTTCTGTCTCTTCTTTCTCTTTTTTTTTTGCTTTTTGATTTTTCGATAACCGGAGGTGTTTCTGGTTGTCATTCTGTGACCAACCTTCAGGAAACCCCTATGGGATCTTCGTAAAAAAAAACTGTCCTTCCTCTTTAGTTTTTATCTTCTTCGGAGATGCCCCGACGTCGGCCTGTCACCGAGGATCCCTAGGCCAGTTCCTCGAGGTCCGGGAAGTACAAAGTGAAGGGAGAGGAGCAGATTAATAGGTTTAGGGCTCGATACTACATTCCCCCTAACGTAGGTATAGATGAGTACGACCCAGTTTTGCACAACCGTATTATCGGGGCCGAGAATGAGATGCCATTTTTCACCAAGGCAATCATAGAGGGTGGAATTAGGTTCCCCTACCTCCTCTACTCCTCCAGTTCCTCGCCCATTTTAGACTCTTTCCGGGACAGTGTTGCCTTAATGTATTTAGGATAATAATTGGGGTCTTAGAGCTTAACAACTGTCTCGGGGTAAACGTTGGGCTCAATGATATCCTTTTTTGCTACTCCCTGTTGAGGGTCATGTCTCAGCAGAATTTCTACCTCAAAGCCAGGGATCCCTCCATGTACCTTGTAACTCACCTCCCTGACTCGGACAAAGGATACAAGGATGACCTTCTGATCTATAGTGGATCTTGGCAGCGAGGGACCGGTCCCGAGTACAGTGGCCTGATGTGCCCTTTTGAATGGAGAACGACAAGTACGTCGGCCTCTCTGAGTCTACTATTTTTGTCCTTGGAATTTTTTTTTTTTTAGAAGTGTTAATAACATTCTTTCTTGTGCAGATGTCTCCGCCCGGGAAGTTGCCCCTCCCCCTCGGTCCTTGGTGAACTTTGCTGATCTGGTCACTGTTTGGAGATTTGTTGGCGACGAAGGGTTCGGTCGGGCTGCTCACATCCTCCTAAACTACAATTCTAGGTATAAAAAGTTCTCACAGCTCCCCCAGTCTTTCGAGCCATCGCGGTGGTCTGAACTCTTAGATTAGGCTGCGCAACAAGAGACCAAGGAGAACTTAGAGGAAGACCCCGACAGGGCTACCGAGGTGGAAGTAGAGGGTGTCCTTGAAGTTGAGGAGTTCGGGGCCAGAGAGGCTTTGGTTCCTTCGCACGCCGAGGTGGGGACTTTAGGGAGAGATTCGTGGCTCGATTTCTACATCCTTCAGTCCCTAGATGCAGAGGACGCCCTCGAGGTAGCCATGTCGCACACGCCTCACATCGACCTGGGATTCCTGAGGCAGAGGCAGGCCCTTGCCGCTGGGAGAGGACGGGGGTCAGCCAGTAGCACCCCATCAACAAGTACCAGCGCCAACCCCCTGCCTCCGAGGCCCACTGATCGGGGTCAAGTGCGGGACCAAGATCCTCAAGTCGAGGAGGAGAGGAGGACCAAGCAAATGCACGACGGCCCGGGCAGGGGATCCAGGGCCCCCTCTGCTCAATAGCCAAGCGGGAGAGGTCGTGGGTTACCCCCTCCATCCCAACAGCAACAGCCGCAGCAGAGGCAACTACAACAGCAGCAGCGACAACAACAACAACAGCAGCAGAAGCAGACTCCAACTCCCCCTCCGTAGACGGTAGAAGCCGCAGAGTGGAATCCTCGGGCCACTGATCATATGAACCGGGTGATCATGGTCGATGATTCTATTCTGCAGGACCCCCATGTTGCCAACGCAGTGAGCGAGATGCTCCATTTCGAGGCCGACATGGAGGCTCATAGGAACAACAAACACATTGTTCCGCTCCATCATTCAGAATTCCCTGGTGATAAATTCATCTTTGCTTCAGTCTTTTCTTGTCGTGTTACTTTTAATTGACTAGTCCTTTCCCTCGCAGGCCACCCAATAGATTTTCATAATCTCTGCGCGATATCATGTAGCTAGGATGGATCTCCAGCGAACCCAAGAACAGAAGGAAGAGGCCGAGGGAGTCCTGGCCAGTGCTAAGGAAGATGTAGCTGCTAGGGACTCCACCCTCGTGGGACAAGCTGCTCAGATTGAGCAACTCCTCAAAGATGGCAAATCGGCGAAGGTCAATGCTGAAAAGCTAAGTGCTGCCTTGGCCGATGCTGAGAGGAGGATCACGCAGCAGACGCAGCGGCTCTCTGCGACAGAGGAGAGGGCAGTAGGGTCAGAGGAGAATTGACTGGCTCTGACCCAGAAGCTGACAGGATCAGGGCCGAGGCGGAGAACAGGAAGTCCGAGGAGCAAATCCGAGAGGAGTTTGCCGACGACGTGCTGCCTACCCTCGAGGAGAACAACAAGGAGTTCTTTAAGAAGGGGTGGGATGAGGCGCTCCGAGCTGCCAGTGTCCTTCCAGACTCCCCATTCTTCCAGATGCACAATTACGTGCCATCGGCGAACATGACGCAGGCCCAGGTCGAGATTGCTGCCGAGGGTGCGACTCCAACGCTGATGCAAGTTTCAACAGACCCGCCCGAGGCGGTGATTCTGGTTCCATCCGACGAGGTTCTGCCAGACTTAGCCCCCGATCACAATATTCCCCAGACTCTTCCTACTACTGATTCAGTCCTAGCTCTGCCTGTTCCCGAAGCTGCTCAACCCTTTTGCGTTGATTCGCCTTGTGGCGATGTGTTGGAGATGCTCGGGGCCAGATGAAAACTTTTCTTTCTTTGAACTGTACTTTTCTTGTAGCTCTTGGGGACGCAAAGCCCCTTTTTTAAAATGAAACTTTTTATGAGTACTTGTATTTCATTACGTGCATTTTCTCTTTTTTTTTTTTGTTTGAAAGACCTTGATAGCTCCGACACCTGGGGAACAATTGGTTGGCCCGCTCGATTGGTTCAGCTTCGTCATTGCTAAGGACCGTACGCACCCGTGGGGTCTCACCCTTTGTGGAAGTTTGTTTCTTCTTTTCATTCGGAGGAAGGAGTCCTTGAACTCTGCCTCCAGGGCCTTACCCTCCGAGGAGGCTTGCTCTTGTTTTTCCTTCGAGAGTCT